ACAGTTTCGCATTAAAACCTGCGCAATCGTTGGGTATTTTGCACCACTCAACCCCGATTACAGCAGAAGCAGAGTGGAAGTGCAAAACATGTCAATCGTCCCAGACCACACACCTTCGCGCGCATGTTCGCGCGTTCAATGTGCTCAATCACACACACACGCACAAAAATATGCACAGACAGGCACACACACACACACACACATACGCGCCCGCACATGCCGCCCACACACACACACGCCCCTCAGATCCTGACACGCGCACGATCCTTCCTCGCGCGTGTGGCATACACCTCATACAACCATACACACAATAAAACAAGCACTCGAATACGCACACAAAAAAACAATTAGACAGACACACACGCGCACGCACAAACACATACTAKCACACAAACACACACACACACACATCCACCCGCATCCCCGCAAACACGAACTCTTTCAATCTGCGCGAGCATAGCATAAGAAAACCCACCCGCACAGGCACTTAAACACACACACGTCCCGGCTGCGGGCGCACTCACCATGTGATACTGTCGAGTGGAGATTCGCGCGATCCGCGCCGTCAAGTGAGACAACACTTTGTCGACCTTTTGGCTTGTGCTTTTTGTTCGCGAGTGTGCTGTGCGGAGTGCTTTGTGTATGCGAGGGTAGTGCGGGAGTGGTGGGCGCCGGAAGTGTCRACACGCGACGTCGAATATGACGTGGACAGCGACTTCGAAGGTGGAGGGAGATGCGAGGGCATGTGGGGTGCGTCAGTGCCAGGAAACGAGCGCGGTGAGGAATGGCTGTCCCTACTCTTTGCCAGCTATGGCGCTCCAGCTGTGCGGGGTGGTGTTGTTGACGACAGTGGCGGTGCGAGGCTTTCGTCGGGCAGCGTCTCCCCAGCAAAATTGCAGAACGCATTGTTAATGCCCAGGGCGCCGCTCGTACTTGTAGGCGCACGGCACTCGAGGCCCCCTCGGGCCTTCCGTTTCGAAAAATCTTGTAGGGTCCGTACGCCACCGCACGACTGTTCGATCCTTGCATCGAATGGTGGCTGCGCGTCGAAATTTCCCCGACGGGGACTTGGTGAGCGCGACATGACAAAAAAGTCTCTGTGGGCTAGCCCTTCCAAGGCGTCATTAAAAAATAGAGCCCTTGTTCCTGGCCACTCGCGTTCGTGTCGTCGGGTTCGTGGGCCCCGCTCGAGGGGRTTTCAGGCAGCGCGGGGGGGCAGATTGTATTTTCGAGTCCGTTGGGGGGGGAGGGCGGTGAGGGACCGCGGGAGGGGAGGTTGGAGGGGTTCGCGGGCATTCGYGTCTCCTGGCTGGCGAGCGGGGTGCAACGCCACGCGGGGGGACACAGGCGGGTCTTTCCATGGGGTGCGACGACAGTTTGGGGCTCCGCTGCCTGGGGTCCGGTGCAGCGCATTCACATCTCCAGCTGTGACGAGCGCATTCGCGCGTGACGTCCCTTCGGCGACCTCCTCCATCGCCTTTGCTGCTCCGCTGTTGCGCCACGTGTTTGCGGGCGTCCCTCTCGTCGCCAACTTTTTCCCGACCTTCTGCCCGCTGCTGGGGTCCAGTTGTCGGCGCTTCGACATTCCTTCTTTGCGTTTTGCGTTAGCAAGTGGCCGCCGTGGTCTGCGCTCAGCCCTTGTCGAATAGTCGCGCCGTCGTGCGCGCTTCGCCATCGTCGAAGAACTGTGCCTCGTCTAAGAATTGTGCCCCGTCAGAGAGCTGCGCCATCGTGTTCGCTGTGCCCTYGTCAAGGTTAAGTGGTTTTCTGCCTGCCCGCGTGTGAGTCGTCGCACATGCTTGCCGGCACATGGGAGCAGCCACATCACGCCACGTGTTGCAAGTTGCGGGGACGGCGGGAACGGATGTCGATGACATTGGGGCACATGGTTTCTATATGCCCTTTTGCTTCCCACTCGTTCGTTCCTCGCGACCGCCCCCATGACTCTTGCTCACCACCATCATCATCATCATCATCATCATCATCGTCGTCATCATCATCATCATCATCGTCATCATCCTCATCGTCAACGTCATCGTCATCATCATCATCATCATCATCATC